ATATGGAAATTCAAGATGGCGGGTCCAATATGGCGAACGAGTTTTGTAATTATGGTCCGATTCTATTCCAAATTGGTATCTGACGGTTTTCTACAAATAATGTATAAAGCGAAACAAAGTTTGCGGGAAGAGCTAGTTGTTGATATGGATATTGGTAAAAATGGCAGGATTATTCAATTCAACTTGAAACTTTGACGATGGTAATAAAACTGTCTCAATAATAGGACAAACCGCAGTGTGTCTCAGGAAATGTCATAATTTTCACCTTATAATACAAAGGTTACCTAACCAATGAGTTCATTCATACGATGAGGTTCTCAAGTCTTTTCCTTTTGAGACATGTTTGATAACTGAAATGCTTTTTTTTATTTTCATCTGACAAAAGAAAGTAACTTCCATCATCATGCCTATTTTCTCCATCTGATATAATTTGAAAACCCACACATCATTATCTCTTGTTTAGATCTGATTCACCTTTTATCTTATAGATCATTGATGTATGTCTTTCGTCATGGACTAGACATAAAAAATATAGTAGGTATAAATTATAATGATTCACATTCATGCAATTCATTCATTATTATTGAATCATTAAATAATGCTACTACGAACATTGTATTATTGAACTTCAGAAAAATTTCCCACATTTTAATCAGAATAAACGCATCATGTGGTTGAATTGTTATTTAATTACATGGTTATTATCGAGGAACTAAAGAAGGATTTGGTTTCAGCAGAGGCATTAAACAAAAATGTTATGTCATTGTTATGCCATTATTATATTTTGATTATATCATCGACATGTAGACTGACGATACAGTTGTAATTGAAAAAAATATGTTTAGAGCCTACTCATTTCCTTATCAATTGAATTGAAGCTTTTAGTTAACTTGCAATGTATGTATGTTTGTTCGGGTGGAATCTTTGAACTCAATTTTGAAGTAGATATAACTAACTTTCATAAACCCTGAAGGTCTACCTTTTGAGGAAAAACAGAAAAATTTTAATATCTGAAAAGCTATTAACTTTTGCAAAATGCAAGGGTTGAATTAACTCCTCATCACCTCTCCAAAGGAATGAATCGACTTACCAGAAACCCTGTATATATCTTTGCGGTGAAATATTCATGTCTCTAGATTTTGGGATTGTTTTCCTTCGATTCTATAAATAAAAGTATAGACACTATTTCAATATACAGGGTGTTTCATAATTGAATGCTGATCCTTAAGGGCGATAATCCTTGGATGATTCCAAAGAGAAAAGTTCATATCAACATATGTCCTAAACCTCTTAGTTATTGAGCTACAGGGTGATGAAATGTCAAGAAAAAAATTAGTTTTTCATCATAATTTTTCATCACTCTTAGATATTGTTATGATATTTTGTATACACCTTTTCATTATTAAGGAACATTTTTTTACGTGAAAGATATTTGAAAATTCTCACCAGTGGCGTCCGTACGGGGTTTGAGCTGAGAATTTTTGAAGAAAAAAATAGTACGCCACTGATTTTTCTGGGAACCAGATTTTTTTCTCAATTCTTATTTATTTTGGAGCAAATTTGGTTCCTAGACTTACTTTCATACAACGTACCGTTTTCGCGTAAAAAAATAAAAACCAAAGAATTTTGAACCTTCAGAGTTCTTGGATATTGTTTTTGGTGATTCAGTAGACACCCACTATAAGTGGAAACACATTTTGTTTTGGGACGAAAATCAAACTTTTACCAGTGATGGCCTCGTAGACCTGATATCGAATATTTAGTTCAAAAAAACGCTGTACGCTTCTGATTTCAACACCCTGTAGCTCAAAAACTAAGAGGTTCAGGACATATGTTGATATGAACTTCTCTCCTTAAAATCATCCAAGGATCATCGCCCTTTAGGATCAGCATTCAATTATGAAACACCCTGTATATTTTTAATAAGGACACATCAGATGATTTACCCTATGATGTCACAGCATTCGAAATTTCACTATTAGAAACCTTGAAGAGAAAGTCAATTGATAGTTATTGACACCTTGTTTGAAATATTTTTGGATGAGAGAAATATCATCAAAATTAGATGCGAACGTATCCTTACTGAAATGAACACATGACAGAGTGGAATAATTACAGTCGCATTAAAAAAAAGCGTACAGAGAGAAATTAACGTCATCCTCTCTCGAAAACACAAAGCATTGGCTGAGCCAGTTTCACACAACTAGAACTAGGATCCCGAAATCCTCTCTTTTTAATACTTGTACGCTTTTTTATTGAATACGACTGAAAATAAGATAACCAAAAAGGATAAATAAAAAAAGTTATTGCATTCTTGCGTCAGTCAGTATACGAATAGTGCATTCAGGAACAATTCATAAACACACCCTGTAACTCACAATTTTCGTCAACTGTGTCAAGTTGGCAAAGAAGAGGAGAAAAAAAAGGAGAGTTTTTGAAAATCGATCCGTTTGGAAAATAAAAAGCTCAAAAATATCAACAACACGTTTGACGAAAAATTCAAAAATCGATTAAATTTTATAATGTAATCAAGAGCTTCAATAATGTTTAAACATCTTGAGTTTATTTAAATCAATTCTTGAATCTTTTGAAAAAAGAGTGAGTTACAGATTGTTATAGAATTCACTATATTTTCATACCTACTATAAGAAGAGTGCAAGCGGTTTCTTTCTTACTGTTTTTTTTTTTTTTGTTGAAATCTCCTCCTATGATTTCAATACAATCCCACTCTGCCTATACAAGGTGTCCCTGAAAGGTATGTACAAAATATTTGCACATATTCCTGAGGTCATGCTGAGCCAATTTAAAGCAACTTACCACAGTCCGAAATTGTTCCGTTTCCAAGATACAGGATAGTAGTAAAGTTGAAGGATAAAAATCTAATTTCTCAGAATGTATGTACATTTTCAAGCGTATTGCCTCAAAAATTGACATTTGGAGGTTTTTTGGTATGCGAAACACGATAATACATTCACCTTTTCACTGTGGCCATTAGATGGCGCTTACCAGTACACTTCTTTTGGTTTAGAATGACCATACTTTTTTCTCAGTGTAGTTTCTTGCTTTATTCTTTGAGGAAATAATTATCCGAACATGTTTAAGCAAAAAAGGTACTCTTGTGATAATCCACTATAAAGAAAGCTGATTTCGAGATACCTATTTCAGTTTTTAATGTTCGATGCAGCACCGGAATATTTAAAATATTTTGAATGAAGCATGACTGCTGTTATCTTTTCAGATGGGATCAGGTCAGTGAATTAGCAGTGCAAAAATTATATTTTCATGAAGTGCGATAACATAGGAATAAATTCATTTTGTATCTTCACCGCCCTGTTTCTCGGAAATGTACTGACATATTGTACAGACCTTTTAGGGACACCCTGTATATTATCCATTTCCCGTAAAAATGAGTTCAGCGATCTTTGATTATATTTCTCTCCTTTAAACATTTTCTCCAAGAACTAAATATGTAGCAATAATGTACATACGTATAGCAAATTGAAAACACTTTTTAATGAAGTATCACTTGACCCCCATTTCCATTTTCTATGCCTTTGCGTTATAAGATAGTTTCCCCATGTTACCCAGACAATCAATCTTGTCTAGGGATTCATCGAGACGGGAAATCTCGTCTCGAAGGCACTTTCTCGTCTCGTCTAGACTCTAGATCATCGAGACGAGAAATAAACAAACTCTCGCCTCGAAGTTTTTCTTGAAGACAATTAATCTCGATTCGAGACTCTCGAAATTTCAAGAGTCTCGAAAACAAAAACTGATGGTTATTAAAAAATGCTATTTATAGGTTATAACGTATAACCACCAAAATACAGTAGGGTAGGTATTCAACTTCGTCTATAAAAAACATTTCGTTAGAATACAGAGGCTATAAAAAAGCAATAACGAATAACAAAAAACCGCCGAGTATATCAGCACAAAAATAAGGAATATTGTTCAAAAAATAGTTATTTGTTTTACTAGGCAGAAAAGTGGTAGATGGACAGTTAATCTACATTTGCTGCCGTGTGAAACATAAATTTTTTTTCCAAATGATATAAAACCAATTTTGTGTGATTTTTTTTATTGAAAACTCCATCATTTTGTGTTCACTCAATGTCAGTGTCAATTTTGATTACTAATTTCATTAGAATTCCTTGGAACGTTGCATAGCAACAAACTTTTTCTGCCTAGGCAGTAAATATACACCTTTTCTCTCGCCTTTTCTGCATGTTAAGCGGCATGAAAAAGCCACTATCCCTGCCGCTTGGAGAAAAATGAAATTTAAACGAATTCTTCAGGTTTCAATTTAATCTGTTATGCATACATTTAGAATTCACCTAGGCACAGCATAGTTCCTAGTTATTGCAGCGCATTTATATTTTTTTGAGATCCAGAAATCTCGAAATAATTTCTCGAAGTGTTTTTCTCGATCTCGTATCGAGAGTCTCGTGAAATCCTAATATTTAAGTGTTTTCGGATTTTGTAGGAAAGTTCCTTCCCAGCCCGTAATTCCTAATATTTTTATCGGAAACGAAAAGAGAGATTCCCATAAGTCAAATGTTAATTGTGACGTCAAACGTTCCCGGTCTATTTCATCATATCGTTTTTTGGGGACTCCTTATTTACAAAATACAATGGACTCATACTCAATATAGATGAGATCTTAATTAAACAAACGCTCTCAAAGGCATGGCGAACGGGATTTCCAACTGGATTCACGTTGCGCTCCGCTGTCTAGGTATATAATACGAGCAACAATCGACTTACTGCCACAGCTTACTTAGATTCTATATGGAGTGCGAATCAGAACGTTCGGTAGTCAACAAACAATAAACAATTGATCACTGAAACTGAAGAGACTCGAAATATAAAGTCAGTGACCAGATCTTGAATCGCGAACGCTCTGTATATGAAGGTGAAAGACCCGTTTTACCGGTTGTTAATCATTTGTTTAATTGTTATTTTGACACGGAAAAGTGTAGACGTAATATTTAACAGTTGTTGTTGATGGACGTTTAGCTGGAATAGCTTGTCTTTCTCAGTACCTACATTATTGTGTCTGGTGAAGTTTTTTCGTAACAAGTGCTCAGATAACGTAAGCAACGTAAGTATATTATAATAAATATTATTGTTATTTTTATGTTGTTGCTATTAGCAGAGTTCTTATTGTGTCCGAATGAGAATGGGGGATACATACTTGAAACTTGCATTTCTGTTGATTCAGTTTTCAATATGCTATTTTTGTTTAGTTTTTTTTTTATTATGAATTATTGTCTCTTTAATTATTATTTTACTTCATTGAAGAACATAATGTACTTCATTTTGAATGAACGGAGTATCATATAGGTGTTCTGTAGTTCTGTATTCCATTCTTTTTGTTCGATATTCAGTTGGTTTTATACCTACCTACTAATAAGCGAGTTAATTGGTTCCTAATCGATAAGAGATAAACCAAAGACAAAATTGTCACGTCTGAATATAGCTATTCATATCACAAGATTTCAAGGAAATTCAAAGATATTACGATGAACCAAGGAGTTCTCTTGATAGATGAAGGAAATCCGAATGAGTGGATGAAATTCAAGGATTTTCATAAGTAATATCACGATGTTTTGCATGAATAATTCGAGATACTTCAATAAGGGTGGCGAGGTACTGTATCTCAGAAACTAATAGTCTATATAAAACACCCCCCTTTGCGAGGGCGGTAAATACCCCAGAATGACATGTATGATTTTTTATTTCATTCGTGAAACATTCTTTTCTTGATACAGGCCTTGTTGGCAAAATTCTTAGCTCCTCAGATACAGAATCTCGTCATCCTTATTGAATCACCTGGTACAGTTCTAGTTTCATTAATGTGAACCTCCCTTTATCTCTTTTGGTTTTCACATATTCAGGAAAATTCAAACGGGATTTCAAACTATATTCCGAGCAGGTTCCACTCATATTGAAAATGATGCAATATCTCTTCAAATATATACAGGGTATACAGAAATAGATATATTTTTCAAATAGAATGCCCTGTATATTTAGATAGATTTGAACTCCTCGAATCATCCTGACTTCGAATATATATATGAGCGATTCTCATCTATCAAAATAAATAGTGCTATTCATTAAAAATATATCAATATTTTTGCATACCCTGTATATTTGGTAAGATATCACAACATTTTGTCTCAATGATTGAAACCAGTACGAAATATTGTATAAAATCAGTTTTTAACCTTTCTGATTGGGTGGAAAGCAAGAAAGATAAAGGGGGGTTCACAAAAGTAAAACTAGCATCTACACGAAATTGTGTTGCCGAGCAACACCACGAGTCCGTCAGGACGAGTGGTATTGCTGTACGGCAAACACAATTGAGTTAACCTCGGAGTAGACAATGAAAGACAGAATTATGAGAAGATATTCAGGACAGAGTGGTATTTTGCTCGACTATTTCACGTTCACGAAGCATGAAAAGAATTTAATATAAATGAGTGATTTTTTCTGACAAGTACAGCCATTATTATTTTATGTCAAACTGACAGACTTTCCTTCGCTATCCATGGTTACATCCAGACTTTGCTTCGCTATTCATGATTACATCGTTGAAAACATCAACGCTGTCAGACCAATCAGAATTGAAGCTTATCTTTTCGCGATCGACACACGTTGTCTGGCTTGTGATTGGTCAGATTATGTGATGAATGAAATAGTCAAGACAATTCGAAGAATATCTAGGCAATTTATATGATTCCAAACCAAGATTAACCAAGTGATGATATGTTAATAGAAATTTCAATGTAACCCAATAAATTCAAATGGAACCCAAGGACTTCAACAGTTATTAACGTTACACGACCGATATTAATAGCAAATAACGAATGAGGTTGAATAACGTCTCAGATTATAACAATCTAATCCGTTATATTTGCGTATGGACCGTGTGTCGTTCAAGACTTCTCGTAATCCCACTGAAAGATTACATTTTTATACCGAGGAAAGAACAAAACCTCGTATCTCGTAATTCTAAAGAAAAATCCCAACATAGTGTTGTAATGGAACAGTTAACGGCCGCCGGCCGTTAAATAATCTGAATAACGTTAAATCAAAATAACAGTACGGGCATAGATTACCGACTCCCCCATACGAAAATATGTCAATTCCAACGAATGAATGAATGAATTCCAAAGAAAACTGATGAAATTCTCGGGAAGTAATTATCACAATAAAATTAGCAAAATACCGAGACTACCTACGGAATTTCTTTAGTTGTTTGTAAAAAAATTTGAAACGAGGAGAAAATCCCAAATGATCAAGTAAAATGAATGTACCACCTCCTCGATTAACCTACAGACAGTATTTGATATCTAACGAACTCAAAATAAGTCATTACAACCAAGGAGTTGCGATAAAATGTAATGAAAACCAATGTAAATAAAATCGAAAGATTTCGAATGGAATTCGAGTAGATCAAACGGAATACAAATGATACTAACAAAACCAAAAATATTTAAAAATCTGATGAAATCTGATGAAATCTGATGAAATCTGATGAAATCTGATAAAATCTGATGAAATCTGATGGAATCTGATAAAATCTGATAAAATCGGATGAAATCTTATAAAATCTTATGGAATCTGATGAAATCTTATAAAATGTGATAAAATCTTATAGAATCTGATGAAATTTGATAAAACCTGTTGAAATCTGTTGCAATCTGTTGAAAGATTTCGAATGGAATTCGAGTAGAACAAACGGAATACAAATGATACTAACAAAACCAAAAATATTTAAAAATCTGATGAAATCTGATAAAATCTGATAAAATCTGATAAAATCTGATAAAATCTGATAAAATCTGATAAAATCTGATGAAATCTGATAAAATCTAATCTAATCTAATCTAATCTAATCTAATCTAATCTAATCTAATCTAATCTAATCTAATCTAATCTAATCTAATCTAATCTAATCTAATCTAATCTAATCTAATCTAATCTAATAGAACCAATGAAATCAGATGAAATCTGATGAAATCTTTTAAAATTTGATAAAATTCGATAAAATCTGGTTCTTACAGACAATGAACCTTCTGGTCGCCGCATTCCTGCTAGTCGTCCACACGCTACCCCCCACCTCCACAGAGTCCCTCCTGGAGGGTTTGGTGCCGGAAGAAAATTTCAAGAAGCATGGCCTCGCGCTCGAGGCCGTCTTCAGCATGGGACTGCGCCTGCAGGCCATCATGGACACGTCGTCCAAGGGCAACTTCGTCGTTTCGCCGCTCAGCACAACCGCCATCATCAGCCAGCTGCTCATGGGAGCAGACGGTCAGTACCGAATTTTCAAATTATCCTTCTGTTATTTTTTTTGAAAAATGTTTTGAAAACAGAAACAGCTACAACTACTCTTCTGGCTAATATCGCAGAAAATTGAATGAAACGTTTAATTGATTGAAACGTGGATCATCCCAATCATAATAATATGGGAAAATGTTCGTTTTTTTTCTATATTATTATAAGCTATTCATTACGATGGCTCAAATAGACCCATTATGTCACACGGAGTGTCAGAGCATGTTCGACTGTCCGAGAATGGAACCAAAGAGGAGGATCGTAACGATCGAAGACTTGGAGACGATCTGTTTTCTGTGAAGGTGTGAAAACATTACTATCTCCTGGCTCAGATTGAAAGTTAGACATGTTTTCCGTAGTTTTCATGTCATCGCAACGTCAGATGATGACCTTGACTATCGTGAAATATTTCACACAGTTGATGAATGTTTGTTGTTATGTCGTTAGTGAGTTCATCAAAGTCCTATATGATTCTAGTATGCTTCATAAGAGTTGATTCTGAAATGTTTCTGTTAAAATATCTCGAGTAGCGCATTTGTGAAATAATTCAAGTGGTGAAGTAGTGAAATGTTCCTATAAGACATTTCTTCAGTTAAGGCGACTTTGAGACGTTCCTGCATGGCCTCGGGCATAACAGTCAAATGTAGCATAGACTATGCAATTGAAACATCTCGATGTAACATTACACACCCTAGGTCATTGATGTTATCGAGAATGTCTCATAAAGGTTTCAGAGTATATAGGTGAAATTTTTCATATTTCACAGAGTTAGTTTCAAAAACGTTTCAGATACACAAAATGGTTTACTGGGTGTTGTATTTATGTTTCTCTTTTGTCTCATGATAGATATCCGGATAAAAGTGACTCTTCCCAGGTCTGAATCAAATGAAAGGAAGATCCAATATAATGAATATCCTTTGCTTGCAGGTGAATTTGAAAGTCAACTATACGACCTCCTATCCCTTCCGAAACAGGTCTCCTTATACAAGGTGACCTATCGCACCAAGAAGTACAACGAGACGCAAGTCATGCCGCACGCCAACTTCCATCTGCAGCTGTCCAGCCTGGTCAAAGAATTGCGAAAGAGGAAAGACGGGGAACTGTTCACGTTGAATCTGGACAATGCCCTGTTCTACAACGAGGACATCGAGTTGAGGAGTTTCTTCAAACGCAGCTTGGAGATCATTTACGATTCGGATATAAGGCCTCTGAATTTTTACAAGGACAATACTGCAAGGTGGGTCAATGGGCAAATTCAGGGAAGAATTCTATTTCATCATCCAAATAACATTGCTGTTTTATGAAAATCTATATAGTAGTCGAGGTGTAAGTAGTATTCACTGAAGAAACTGTTTATTTGGATGGATTGAAGAAATTGATTGAGTAGGCGTTGGGGGGGGGACTTGTCGAAGTTCAGAGAGCTAGACCGCTAGTGTGGGTCTATTGTGTCACCCCGCGAGTGTGGCATCCTTCACAATAGTCCCGCAGCTCTGCCGAAGACGAGGATGTCTGTAGCCGGGATGTTTGGCCAAAGAGGAGAGGGGAACCTATATTCTTTGGTTTGGCGCTTCTTCCAATGGAAGAGTAGTGTGTCCGAAACTCCGCCATCTGAGCTGTATCAGCGTAGTACATTCACATATGAAGTGGATGGTAGTTTCGTCGTTTTCGAGATATGAACGGCACGTTGGGTCATCGAAGATACCCAGAATGTTTAGATGTCTGTTTAGGCGGCGTCCAGTTAGTAAACCAGTGACAACTCTGCTTTGGTTTCTTCGCATTTTCAGGAGGGATTGGGTGAGACGTATCGAAGGCCTTTCAATGAAGATCTTCGCCTGCCTCATGCCTCTAGATTCTATTCATTCGGATAGATTAAAGCGAGAATTGGAGTATTCACATGACGTACCTCACTTGTTATATCGCTGTATTATTGATATTTGTAAACCTTATGAACATATGAACCCAATATAAATCAGTGGATGCAATTTTGGGCTCATGTATGTTATTTGTTTACCAATTTAATTGAATAAAACATTCAGAAAAACTTACCCGATGAGTAATCTCAGCACTCAGGCATTATTTAGGAGGAGGAACCCCTGAAACAGATATATTCTAATTTGCAGGATGGTCACACATAGATAGTGATTTTCATTTGGAACGATCTATTTTTAATTCAAAACATCATTTGAAATCATTATATTCAGCTCGATTTTTTTATCTCTTGGGGCGCAAGAAAGGTAGTCCCTATAATGTTCAGAGAACAAAGTGCATACCTGATAACATTTATTCAGTTCTTCTACAGTTATCATATCAAAATTATGTACGTTATGAATGAGTTATGTTTTTTTTTTTCAGCATCATCAACAAATGGGCAGAACAACACACAAACGGCCTCATCAAAACAGTCCTTCAAAACCCTCTTCCCATCAGCACTGCCTCTATGTTCGTCAATTCCATCTATTTCCAAGCCGAATGGGAAACCCCCTTCTCAGATCTCATAAACATCGTTGACAACTTCCACACCGACGAAAATGACACCGTAGAAGCCACCTACATGACGGGACACATCTCCAGAATCTTGTACGCAGAAACCAAAGATTACAGGGTTACATGTCTTCCCTACCAAAACAGAGAGCTGGGGATGTATATCATCTTCCCCACCAGGGAAAACGAACACAAATACGATATCAACAAATTTTTGGAGCAGCTGAAGCCTCAGGAATTGATCCAGAGCATAGTCAATGCGAAGCTAAAAGACGTTGTACTCAGGATACCAAAGTTGTCACTGTCGAATACTTTGAGTATATTGAAGCCCCTCCAGAAGTACACTGAGTTCAAAAAAAGCGAGCAGGCAAGACATCACAGCGATAATGCTATAGACGATGTCTTAGACAAAGTTAGCAGCTATAAGAACTTCACAACCCCTCACCAAAGAGATATTCTTTTGACTAGGGCAGCTAGAGGTGAAAATTTGAGAGTGTCAGATATAGTCCAGCAAATGGTATTCTCGATCAATGAGAAAGGTACGGAAGCAGCTGCCGTTTCACTGGGTATCACCGATTATATGGGTGGTTCGAAGACTGTGGTGCTAAACAGGCCTTTTGCATTTTTCATTAGGCATGAAGCTACGCTCGCTACACTGTTTTGGGGGAGCATATCTGATCCTTCAAAGAACTAGTGATATGAATTGAGTTAATTGAGTATTACCCTCGGTATTATCTAACTCTGCATTGTAAGCAATGCATAATCTTTCGACTATTAAAAATCTTTTCAGTTTTGAAAAGGCGACTGATACCTATTCTATTGAATGTTTGTAATGTTGATACTCTTGTATTTCAAGTTTTATTTATTGTAGTTTTAGGTGCTTACTTAATAAAAATAAAACTCTTTTACACTTTTATCATATAGTGTTTCATTCTCGTTTTCAATTATTTATACACCAAGGTTAATCCAAAATTATATCCCGAGGTTTCAGCCGAGAGGTATAAATAAGTCCAAATTATTTACTACCAAGGTGTATATTAATTTTTTTTTCCATCGACCTCGTATTAACGACTAAGTTTAATGTATATGAAATCGTTCATTAATGACCCCTATTAATGGACGATTTGTCTATTAATGCACGATTGTTTTATAGGCAACCAAACATACACCGCGTGCATTCATTGTTTATGCTATAACTAGCGGAATCTGCATTTAAATCGAAAATATGGATTTCATCGACGATTTTCCGTTAACGGGTTAGCCTTTCCAAGTTTCTGACACGATTTTAATCCCTGTTTTTCTAACACAAGGAATTTATTTCCTATGTTGATCATTTCGACAAATGTCAAATGAGACTAATGTCAGTAACAAGGTTACTGGGCGATTCTCAGCAGTTTCCGGATGGATGATGAATTCGCGAACCAACTTTTCATCATTGCAGGAAAAATGAGCAATATAGTCGAAAGAAAAATTTTGTAACCAACTTGTATATTAAAAGGCGATTAATGATCTCGAACATTAACGCACTCGCTTCGCTCGCACGTTAAAATATCTCGATCATTAATCGCCCTCATTAATACACTAGTTGGTTAAATAACTATTTTACCACCAGCAATATATTTTAATCATTTATATATAGTTCAGTGAAACTGAAATATATAGACCTATTGTCGCTATGAAATCACTTGTTTTCAATTCTAATTGAAATCTAGTGGCCATGACCATGACAAACATATGACAAGTTACTATCGATGAATACCTACAAGCTTCGAGTGCCATTCCTGCAACAGTGAATTCGGGATAATTACTTATAGGGTGCTTGAAGATTCAGAATTCTGATCACCCTGTATCTGTTCCGATTAAATATCAGTAAAGAGTAAATCAAAAGTTGAGATAGGATCATGTGAGCCGTTTTGGCCGATAATAAATATTTTCAACACAGTAAAGGGTAAATCAAAAGTTGAGATAGGAACTAACATATATGTGAGCCGTTTTTGCCGAAAATAAATATTTTCAACACAAACAAATCCAAGTTGAAAAAATCTCGATTTTGAACACCCTATATGTATCTCTGTAATCATTTCCGATTGACCCCAAGTGGGAGAATTTAAAAATTCTATAAAATACAGGGTATTCTATTTGAAATAACAAAGTTGTTGCTACTTTTTGATAGAAGCGGCAACACTGCAGTGCTGAAAGTATTTTAAATGAAGAGAGAGTATTCTAAAATATAAGCATGCATATTTTTATGGATTTCTCCTGACTGATTTTCGATGTATGACATACCCTGTATTGCTAGTGCATAGTACGCCATCTATCGAAATTCTTGAAAGCTGTCAAAGCGGCATGTTTACTTTGTTTTCATTGGTTCACATCTGTTTTTAGTTTGTGCTTATTGGTCATATCAAAACAAACCGCTCAGAAGTGTTCAAGTTGCTGCCGTAAGGTGGGGCAACGTGTTATTTTCTATCTCTATCGCGAATACCCCTCACTAGGGTCCCTTGATGAAAATTGACGTTAAAGTCATCTTAACAGGGTACGGACAGATCCTCGTCTCCTCTCACTCTAAAGCGTTTGTGAAACAGTTATATGGCTCCGTCCTTATTCAATTCTGGGGATAAATACTAGATTTTTGACATTCGTTGTTTTTTAGGTTATATTGAGGTCACTGGCGTATCATACGTAATTTCCATATGGAATTCCTGGTTCAACCATACCAAGAGATAGATGAACAATCCTCTAGTTTTAGAGTTTACTACTCCAGCATAATTTTTGCGAGGTAGGGAACATATAAATTGTACTGAAAGCTTATAATGTATTTCACCAGAAGAGACCGTTATTAGACTGTATACCAGGGTTGACTGAATCGACTGAATGAATTCTGATTTCAAGCTGAGCAGTAGTTTATCTATGAGCTGAATGAGCAGAGCCTTATGATTGAGAAATGGTGGAAACCTCGATGTGGGTATCTGAACTACTGTAGTTACTCATGTCATATGTGCTTCGGAGTATGTGCTAAATATATTTTCGGAAATCCAACTCGGAGAAGAATTTATGGAGTACACTATAGAAGTATAAAAGTATAAAACTTCGTCTAGGGCAAAAAGTAGGCTGATAAAAAAATACGTAAAATATGTAGGAAAATGTAGAATAGAATATACTTCACCTCATTTTTCCGTCTCCCTTCAATAAAAAGTCATTTTCGAATTATTTATTGATGAAAGTAACAAAGAAGTAGGTATGCGCAGTATAACTTATAGGCACGCTATTTTCACTCTTGCATCCTACATATTTTCTATTTGTGGTAGAGTAATAATTATATAAACTAATGTCTTCCGCCATATTGGATCCGCCATCTTGAATATCCCAATTTTGACGAAATAATTATAATCTCCGACCCCGGAAATCCCCAGATACCAATTTTGATTTTTATTGGATCCGCTATCTTGAATTTCCCAATCTTAACAAAAAATCATAAATTTCGACCCCGAAAACCCTCAGATATTAATCTCAAATAGAATCAGATCATAATTAGAAATTTCTTTCGCTATATATTGGATCCGTCATCTTGAATTTTCCAAGTTTGACGAAATAATCATTATCTCCAACCCCTGAAAACCCCAGATATCTTTCAATTCAGAGTAGAATCGGATCATAGTTACAAAATTCGTTCGCAATATGATCTTCCTCAACAAGTAAATACCCTGTACATACCTATTATTAAAATTTAGAATGATTTTTTGTAGCGCTCATGGATATGACGTGACAGCAATGTCAGGGATGCCAGTAGACAAAACTAAAGTCTCTATATCATTAAAAAAGAATGCAGCTATGATCAGTCCGTACCCTGTTAGATGACTTTAACGTCAATTTCCATCAAGGGACCCTACCCCTCACTACCTTGAAAATAGCACACGGTAGATTCTAAAGCTAGTGGTGAAAAAAATACCAAATACAAAAAGCATTAAGAGAACCAGTAGAACAAAGTGCATAAAATAATTGAATTAGGAGCAATTAAATTTGGGAGATCATTATTGGGGGTACCTATAATCTATAATATTCTCCATTCAATTTATATGTATAGCATAAGATATAGCAGCATAATAATACTGTTAATCATTAATTAGCATCAGTATAGGTATTATATGCTCTCTATATCAATTGAATGGAGAATACATATATATTGTTCCAGTTCCAGAGGGCTTTGCATTGCTTGCTCTCCTCATCCTCAAATAAGAAGACATATACAGTAATCATGCACACCTCAACTTTTATCTTAACCGATTTCGTAAACTTAAGAATGAGAGGAGTGATTATTGGTTGATTTCAGATATCAATTATGATTTCCGAATCCACCAACTTCCACCAACCACCAATCACATTCTCTAGTTATAGAACTTGAGATTCCAAGTTAGAACTGATGAAGTCGTGCATGAATTCACTCGCCATAAAAGAGGTTGTAGATTATACGTAATAGCGTATATAATATAATAAATATAATATACAAATAATCAGCAAATGATAGTTTAGGTAGTTCTTACCCCCAATCAAGGTGCTCCCAATCCTTCCTAAAAGTTTCACTTCGAGTATGGACTATGGAACAGCAACCACAGGCAATCCACTATTGGAGATTTTGAGAACGAACATTGTACTTATTACGGAAAACTTGAGAACAATATGATGATTACACAATTTGCAAATTTGCAGAATGAGAAAATGACCGTTACCGATTGATGAATGATGATTGATTTTGATAAAATCTTGAATAAAAGACAGAAGACCATAAAACCGAGAACTACTCTTCTTATGTTATGACAGCATTGCCAATAATGGCATCTAGACAGGAAGACACATATCCTTCTTCTTCTTAACTTCTTCTACTCAATAGCCTCTGCTTCTTCTTCATCTGATTCTTCTTCACTGATGCCATTGACTTTCAATAGACCTTGGCCATTGACAGTCAACAGATTGACGAATGACGTGGGCCAAACTACTACTAAAAATTAAGTGCTTAACCTCAAATGAGTCAAACGTCGTCAAATATTCCACGTATTTTGGTAATTGTTACTGCAAAAGTGTCTTAATTTTACTTCTTTATTCAGGAATTCGTGCTGAAAATGTTTTAGGTATAGATCAACTGTTAAATACTTGGCACATCTGATCTGTGAGACCGTTATCAAACATGTTAACAAAGTTCGAAACCAAATCTGCCCGAGTGAAGGGACTATCCTTCCACCCCAAACGCCCCTGGATCCTCGCCAGCTTGCACAGCGGCTGCATCCAACTGTGGGACTACCGAATGTGCACCTTGTTAGAAAAATTCGAAGAACATGACGGCCCTGTCCGAGGCATTTGCTTCCACAACCAACAACCTCTGTTTGTGTCTGGAGGAGATGACTATAAAATCAAAGTGTGGAATTACAAGCAGAAACGATGTATCTTCACGCTCTTAGGCCACTTGGATTACATTCGCACCACTATGTTCCACCATGAGTATCCCTGGATTGTGTCTGCTTCTGATGATCAGACAATCAGAATCTGGAATTGGCAGAGTAGAACATGCATTTGTGTACTCACTGGGCACAATCACTATGTCATGTGTGCTATATTCCATCTTACAGATGATTTGCTAGTTTCTGCTTCATTGGATTCTACTGTGAGAGTTTGGGACATATCTGGATTGAGGAAGAAAAATGTTGCTCCTGGGCCTGCAGGTCTGGAAGACCACCTGAAAAATCCAGGTTTTTATTCACCTATTTATTCATTCATGTAGATGGGAAAGCTTTATATGAGCAAAACTGTGTTACTTGAACATGTCCTGGGAGACATGCAAAGAATTAGTTTTCAGAAAATGTATTCTACTCAGAAGAAAGGTCCCTGAAAGAGTTATCATTCTGAATCATCATTATTTGACATACCATTTTTCTATAGAAAATAAAGAGGTTTAAAACAAGGTGTAAAAGATGTTGGTATGTGTCAAAAATGTACCTAATGATTTTTGTAGCAGCACAATATTTATATACACAATTTACTGATTCATATTCTCAAAAGTAAAAAGGACATTCAGTTAAAAGAACATATCTATGACATAAGAAGTAGAAATAACATACCATTGAAATATAAAACAAACAAGTCAATTGGACATTGAAATTATAAATGTATAATTCCTTACCTATATAATAAAATTCCAAATGACAAAAAACAAAATCACTCCAATCCTATAGGATAAAATGAGGGATGAAAAATTGGATATTAGACTCCCCTAAGAATGATTTTATCTCTTTAATTAACATTCAATAATATAATTAGAAACATCTAAATAATAATTGTGAATAAGTATATATAAATATAAATAATTATGCAAATTGAATGAAATGCTCAGTACACTATATATGAATTATATGCAAGATGTCTCATTTCCTAATGAGACAATTTTTCCCTTGTGATAATTTAATATTGTTAAATATTTATTGATCTATGTACATTTGTTTTTTTATCCTTACTACAAGGTTCACTTCCTGAAGTTTTTCCCAGTTTATTCAAAATACCTATCTGTATGTTCCAATGTATATTTTGTAAACATATTTGAATAAACTTATATTATTATTACTAGGTATGTAGGTGGTTAGCTGTAGTTTAGGTAGGTATATATTATCATCTATTTTGTACAAAAACAATATAGCCTGCTGAGAAGTTTCTGTTATTGTTGACTCTTGACTTTTAGGCATCTCTGATAGAACCACACCATTCTTTCAAGTTTTCCCTGAAAAATTAAAAAAGAAATAGGCAGCTTTGTCATTTCTGTGCTGTGGAACAAATTTTCTGAAAAAAAAAATGTTAGGAAATTGAGAAGTTCATAACAACTAAATGCAGCAACCTTATCCCAAATGATATATCAACATGTTTTTTTTTTTCAAAAACACGTAGATATTCCTCAAGTTCTCACAAAACAAAAATACATTTTGATAGAACTTGTCAAACCAACAGAACTGCCAATTAGTGCAGGCAGATTTACTACTTGATTATAAATGGATTCAAGGACATAAGTAATTTGAAATTTTGCATACAGATAGTGGCACACATGCACCACCCTGGCAGAAAAGGAAATATATAGAAAAAATTGAGAATTCTTCAACTAAGTTACAGTTTGAATACTTAAAGTGTCCAAGTTTCTGTTCAAATTTGTTTGTTTATTGGTATAACATACATGTCTAATTATCTGTAGCTAATAAGTTATTAGTTAATATAGTAAGTATTGTGTATAGATGCAGATGCACCTCCCTAAAAGTATTCCTGATGGCTCCCATGGGCACATTAGCTTTGTTGGTGAAATCAATCACATATCTGAGGCCTATTTCTATATTTTTCAAAGCAACAACAATTCACTCTATTCACATTGTTAACAAATAGGTCAAATAATGTTATAACTCTGCAATTTTCTCTTTATTTGATGAATTTGTTTGATGTATCAATCAAGGTACATCATGGGATATATGATAAGAATGTCTAGTGAACTCAAAACAACATGAACATTTGATAATTTCACTCACGTCTGCACCCTGAAGGCAAGGATAAACGGGGAAGACATATTGTTTCTCTCAAAGCTTGCAGAACGTCTCAATGTAAAAATCAAAATTGTTTGGAAAAGAAATATCTGATCCCAATCTCCAGCAAAATCATTAGTCCAGTAACTTTGTCGCCTGAACATATGGGGGTAGTATGCGTCAAATCCGGTAGTTCTGATTTTTTACAGACTTGTTCATGATGTTGGCCTAATGAATGATCCAAGTTTGTGACCTGGAGCACCGAACCCAACTTTGTCAAAAATCCAAAAAAACCGCGGAAAAATCGTAATTTTTTCAAATTTTGGCGATTATAACCCTGAAGGACTAGTTTTTGAAACAAAATCTATCAGAACGTTTTTAAAGCAGATCAAATTTGCAATTTGGCAGTAGTTTTCGACGGTTACCCTGTAGATGCTATACAGAAAAACACAAAGAGCTCTGAGTGTCTTCAAAGAGCCAAGTTACACTCATTGCAAGAGATTATCTTTGATGAGAAAATCATAGCACAGATTCCTCAACAGAAATTCCTGTCAAACGACAAAAACAAGATTCGTTTTATAAACCTGCTGACAACAAAAATGGAAAGTCACAACATTAGAGTACTCCAAGCAGAGGAAGATGCTGATAGGCTCATCATCACTACAGCTGTAACTGCTGCCTCTACCTATGATATAGTGGTAGTCGTTGGTGAGGACATTGACTTGCTGATCATCCTCACTGCCATCTCAAACCAACGTGAAATTTTTTACAATAAATGTGGAAGAGGCAAAGCATTAGATGTCATATATTCCAGCATTGCTTCTTCAAAATCCTCTTTGAAACCAGAGCATTTCCTCTTCATCCATGCCTTCAGTGGTTGTGATTCGACATCCTGCTTCTTTGGCTTAGGGAAGAAACAAATGATGTCCATAGTCGAGAAAAATCCGGACGTTGAAAAGCAAGCTGCGATTTTTCTCGACACTATCTCTACACCTGACGAGATATAGCAGCAGCAGGAGAGCGAGTTATAATCGCTCTATACGGAGGCAACCCCAACACCCATAACCTTGACGAGCTGCGGTACCATCTAATCGCCAGGGCTGCGACGAAAAACAGCTTCAATCTGGCCAGGTTACCTCCTACACGAGACTCTGCTCGATTTCACTCCTTGCGGACATACTATCAGGTGAAAATTTGTCCTTGCATCAGTAATTCACATTACATAATATTATCTTTCATCATTTTTGGGAGTCACCCTGAACCCTCTCTCCTGGGGGTGGAGTTCCACGCCATGAGGCCTCAATCCCAAAATGATGACCAGAGATGCAGCCCCACAATACCTCTTGCGGATGATTTCTTGCGGCTACATGAAGGGTTGTGGGAACACGTGCAGCTGCAGGAAGTCAGGATTTAAATGCTCATCAGTCTGCAGGGCCTCTTGTGACAATGTACCTGATGTTGTAGTAGTAGATATCCCAGAAGGCGACGATCTGTCCGATGTTGAAATGGAGGATGACTTGTGAGCAAAAGACGTCGACGATTCATCACCATCCCCTGATGGGGGATATGCCATCCTAATATGTCGATCCAAATCCAGACGAACCTCAACCGAGACCTTCCAAGAGGGCTAAATTAATCTAATTTTTTGATCTTCAATATTACTCTATTTCCTAACAAATAAACTTATTACCTTTTGTTGTACTTATCTTTTTTATTTCATTATTCGTAGCTCAGCTTAAACATCCTGGTTCACACTCCTCATTTTCTTTCTTTTCATCTCATCATGAAAGTACGGGGCTTCGATTGTATAATCAGGGTCAAAATTCAATCAGACCGACAGGATTGCAAAAAATTGTGAAGTTCGAAAAAAATGATAAACTTTGAAAGGCTCAATCTCGGAAACTAATGAGTCTACCGAGACAGTTTTTATATCATATTGTAGCAAATTTGGTCTAATTTGAAAACGTTCTGAAAGAGTTTTTTTCAAAAACTAGTCCTTTAGGGTTATAATCGCGCGTTCGGCGCTCAAGGTCACAAACTTGGATTATTCATTAGGTCAACATCATGAACAAGTCTGCATCAAATCAGAACTACCGGATTTGACGCATACTGTATGTATGTATAAAGTTACTGGATTACATAGTATGAGTTCATTTCAGGTTCGACGGATCTGTTCGGCCAAGCAGATGCCGTGGTCAAACACGTCCTAGAGGGCCATGATAGAGGGGTGAACTGGGCCACTTTCCACCCCACCTTGCCCCTCATAGTCTCGGGTGCTGACGACCGGCAAATCAAGCTGTGGCGCATGAACGATTCCAAAGCATGGGAAGTGGACACTTGCAGGTATGGTTGTGATGAGTAAAAATTCACCTATTTCATTTAGCTGGAATTTGAAATTTTTGAAAAAATTCTATTCAGTAGGTGGCAGTATCTATGAGTGACAAGGTGAACTAAATACTTTTTATTGCATAGGAAAGGGTAGGGCAGAATGACCCGTTTTTTATTAAATGCAGCAGTCAGCAGTGAGAAAACCTCCAGGAAAACTATCATGGATAACATGAGCAACTGAATAATAATGATCACAAAGAGGGAGAAACACAAAGTTTGGATTTTTCCTCTATTGATAAATACTAATAAACAGAATATATGATTTTCAACCAAAAAAATTAACAAAAGATTTACCTCAACTTTAAAATAAACGGACCTGATAAAATATCATGGTATTTGGATTGATGACAGGTTGAAGTGGGACAAACATATTGATGTTTTGACAAAGAAAATATCTCCAATTATTGGTGCATTGAGAAGATGTCCCAAACTTGATATTAAAATTGCAAACATGATTCTCTACTCTCATATACTGAGTCATATCAACTATTTAATAAATGTTTGGGGATCTTGTTCAAGAAATAATTTTGATAACATATCAACATTATATAGAAAATCGTTGAAAGTACTGCATCATCTCCCATTTGATAAACCAACCAATCAATTGTATGAAATAACAAATATGTATTCTCTAGATGATTATTGAATGATGGTGTTCCCCAAGGATTATATAACTACAGAAGGATAGTTTTGTCGGCGGGGGGCGTGGCCTCGATTACGTAGGCAACGGATCTGATTTCAAAATTGTCCATTTCAAATTATAGTAAACGGCCGTGTAGGAGAATAAATTACTGATTTATTTCTAGCAGATATTTAAAATGAACTTATTAAGGAATTGAGTAATACCACTAATGACCAAAGTAAAGATTTGGAGATGATGGTGTCAAATAAATGAATACAAAATACTCAGATAGGTATATTAATTGTACCTACTCATACCCAGGGTTGTTTTCTAGCCGCTTGAAAATTACCGTGGCATTATTGATGATTTTAGCACCAAAAAAATCAACCAAAAAATTTTAAAAAAATACGCAATTGAAAGTTATTTGAGTGACTTGCCCATTTTGTGAATATGGCCTAGTCTAGGGGGATTATAAGTTGACATTTCTATTTTTCTCAAATTTTCCCTTGAAATGATAAATTTCCTTAACCACACTTGCAGAGGCCACTACAACAACGTCTCCTGTGTGCTCTTCCATCCCAGGCAGGAGCTGTTGCTGTCAAACAGTGAGGACAAGAGCATCAGGGTGTGGGACATGACAAAGAGGACTTGCTTGCATACCTTCAGGAGGGAGCATGAAAGGTTCTGGGTGATGACCAGTCATCCCAACCTCAATTTGTTTGCTGCAGGTCATGATAACGGCATGGTATGTTGGATTTTTGATGTTGAAGTGGTTTTTTAACCCAAATTCAAATTTCTATCTTTTTTTTGTATCTGGAATTCAAATTGTTCATTTGAGACTTTGAAATCTCAATAATTCCTATTGTAAAACAATTTTTTGAGAGTCATTGAGGGTAGACCACCAGTTATAGAGTTGGTTAGAATATTTTGTGTATATAACTACTTCAATTTCAATAGCAGATCAAGGAGGGGTATGTGTGTGATTAATACACCAAATATTTGGCTTATTTATTGTTTTGAGATTCATTTAAACTCGTTATTACTAGTATTTCTCAATGATATAAAAAACAATGTTGACCATATTAATTTTTTTCTGATTCACTTGAAAACAGTCAGGTCAATTGTGTGTGGAATCACCTGAACCTGCTAATTTCACCAAAAGCCATTTGCCCTATAGTCCAGTTTGTAATCCAAATAATAATAATAGTCATTGAATGAAACATAATAGGAGGAACCCATGGTGTTTTAGTTCATACTCGACCTTTTCGAGCAACCTGCATGTCCAAATATTTCTTATTCTCCATAACAAAGTATCATGTGAATGTTGGAAACATGGCAACATTGTGCTGAATGCTGAGAACTGACCAGCTAACGCCCACAAGTCATGCGCCGTGGTTGTCACGTTCACCGATTCAAATGTCCTCTAGTGTGAATTAATATAATTATTATTTACACAAATTTATTTTAAGCAATAAGCCACAAATCATAAGGGACCATTTTGAGACAATTGCATTGTTATTGATAATTAGGATTATTACCAATACTCAATTGATAATTTATGAATTATCGTATAACTAATATTTCTTGAGTTCCCAATTTCAACACATGGCAACTGTGCTACGGTCTGCCCCTACTCACGAAATCGTGGCGTCAGTCTTCACTGGCGGTAAATTTCTAGCCGTTTGAAAATTACCTTGGCATTAATGATTAGTATAGCGTCTAAAAATCAACACAAAAATCTTAAAAAATATGAAATTGAAAGGTATTTGAGTGATGATTCTATTTCTGTTCCAGCGCGATTTTTAAATGGTATCCCATGTAAAATGAAACCTAACCTGTTTTTTTTTTGTTTTTGATTCTGTCTAGGTTGTTTTCAAATTGGAACGCGAACGGCCCGCTTATACCGTACATGGCAACTTACTTTACTACGTCAAGGATCGCTTTCTGCGCAAACTCGATTTCACCACCTCTAAGGACATCCCCGTTATCCAGATACGCGGCGGCGGCAAAGTGCCCGTCTACAGGTAATAACAATAATAATAATGGATATTCATTATGCAAAGGAAAAAAGTGTTAAACCTTGAGCTAAAATCTAATACTTTTTCCTTGTATAATACACAATTTTTGGTAAAACTGCACTTATTTTTTGGTACTGACGTATTTTTGTCTGAAAAACACGAGTTTGATAATGAAAATGTGAACAAACCCTTATTTACCCATATATTTCATAAAAAGTCCGAAATTTAGCCTGCTTTTCCCCCTGTGTTGGATGCATTTACAGTTATCTGCTCTTCTTATTTTGTCATTGGACACTTCATATACTCATGATGTACTTCAATGACACATTTTTATAAAGAAAATTCAACACGAAATATGATTAGGCCATCTTGAGTTTTACAAAAAAATTGCACAGGACCACGAAAAAGATTCTCTCAAAACATTTTTGATATATCATGCAAAACCATCGTAAACTGGACACACTGGACATCGGACAATTCAAATAACAACTTGAGGGGATTCACTATGAACTTGAGGTGATACCTTTTCAAAATAAATGATGCTCAATGAAGGTCAAACATTAAAAAATGTCTCGTTACACATGACCTCACCTTGTAGATTGTAGAAGGGTCGTATAGGCTGGGAGACCTCTCGATCACTGCGACCTAGAAGATCTATTATGATTGCCCTTATCTAGTTTTGGTCCTCTGACCCTATACTTCTGATGAAGCCTAAAATTTTCCTGACGGTTGAATTTTCCACCTCAGCAGGGGTGAGATAGACCTGTTCTAGGTGGTTCAGCCTTTGGCGGACTAATACTTCACATGAGCAAAGTATGTGTTCCGCGGTTTCGGTCGCATTGTTACGAAATCGGCAAGTGTCAGTCTCCGCCAGGCCCATCTTTCTGAGGTGGTACCTGTGATATGTCCTGTGAGAAAGCCTGTGATATGCTTTAGCTCTGGTTTGCTGAGGCTGAGTAGCTCTTTGGCTGGGTTCTGCGAATGGTTGATGAACCTTTTCGCTTGTCGTTGACCTGGAGTTGCTCTCCAGTAGGAGGACTTTTCAATTTCTTTCCATTTCCTGAGTTCTTCCTTTGGGTGACATTTGCTTATCCCACAAAAAGGCTCAGGACCAACAAGTGCAGATGCTGCACCTTTTTTTGCAAGGCGATCAGCTGCCTCATTTCTTTTGATTCCTTCATGCCCTGGAACCAGTCCCATGTGATCTTTTATGTGAAAACAAATGATTTTAGTGCTTTCAGTGCGGCTTGGCTGACTGAGCAGATATATGTGTTGGCACCCCTCAGACCTTTGCTCAGGCACCTTTGAGCGCAAAGGTTGATGGCATATATTTCAGCTAGCAAGATGGCGGGGGAGTGACCTGAGGCTTCAAATAGCCTACATCCGGGTCCATATACACCCGCGCCTACCCCTTCTTCCATTTTCGAACCATCGCTGTACCAAACAAGGGACCCTCTGTCCAGCTGAGGCTCAGCGGAACCGTACCTAGGGCGGCTTTTAATAACTACTTCAAAGGTATGATCTAAACTGAGCCTGGCTGGCATTATGTCCGATGGTTTGGTTGCAAATTCCATTTGAACTTCTTGTAGAATGACCATGTGACCAGTGACATCACCTGGTCTGGCCAATTCAGTGGAGTTCAGTCTGTATGCACTGAGAGCTGCAGTCCTCTTGATAAAAATATGCAAGGGTAGTAGGCACTGCACGTAGACATAGCCACTGTGATCCCAAGACACGCGAGTCTCTGGATTTTTTGCAGCTTAAGTTGTGCTGTTTTTTTCTTACTTTTGGTCCACCACACTAGAGAAGCGTATGTGACCATGGGTCTGACCACCGTGAGATAAGACCAGTAGATCATATTTGGTTTAAGACCCCACGTTTGGCCAAACATCTTTCGGCATATCCAGAGAGCTGAAATTGCCCTATTGACGATTTTGATCAAGTGTTGGTTCCACGTGAGTTTCTTGTCTAGGATTACTCCTAGATATTTGACCTCTTCGGAGAAATTGATAGGCGTCCCATCCATAATGGGTTCCTTCAAATTGATCTTCCTTCTTTTGGTGAATGGAACAATGACTGTTTTGCGTGGGTTGACATTCAAGTCCTCCTGAAAGCACCAGTCTTTCAGCATGTTGAGTGCAGTCTGCATTAGGTTTGATGACCTCACCTTACAGGATGTCCTTCAATCCGGCCGAGAACGCCGTGCTGCTGTGCACGCGCACCTCCAACCTGGACAACAGCACCTACGATCTGTACATGAACCCCAAGGAGCAGGAGCGCGAAGACCACGTGCCCGAAGCGGAGAGCAAGAGGAGTTCGGGGCTCACGGCTTTGTGGGTAGCCAGGAACAGGTGAGAGACATATTTTTTGCGAGGAATCAGAAATTGTTTTTTTTTTTGAGCGAGTTGTGAACACTAGGGTCCCTTGATGCAAAATAACATTGTAGCGAAACCAATACGAGATTGCTATATTCCAGTCATTTCCCGAAATAATCACCTCAATTGTATAGCATTTCATACTTTATCATTATCCCCACGGGTACTCCCCTGTGTCCGAATCCTCGTTTCAAAATTATTTAGTTGTTTCTAGTTTTTGTTGAATACCGAAAGAAGCGAGCTCCCGTTTTTATAATAATGTAAAAATTTCGAACATTGTGGCTCTTGGGAGTGTTCAGTGCGTAAAATATATCCAAGCTGACATCGTCAACCAAAAAGTTTTCCCCAATTTCGAAAGTGTTTGCCATTGACTGCACAGAATCTTTGTGTTCTCATCTGTCCTGAAATATACTTATTTCAGCAACAGTGTGCCTGATCTTTCAGGTGAGTTACGTCATTAAAATATATTGCTTATAGTTTACTGGCCTCGATTATCTGTGCTACTTATTTGTCAATTGTATTCGGATCATATCGTGGAAAAAAATGTTGTATTTGATTTTCTCTGTCAGTTTTTAGACGCATGCTACAATTGGGTGGAATTAAAACTTGGTGTGTCCGACTTAGCGAGTTTTTCTTACCCAGAAACCACATATATAGTGTGGACCCATATAAACTACCCCTGAGATTAAGAGAGTTTCGCCGCAACATGTGGAAATTACGAACAATAAAAACTAAAAAACAACAATTGTCAGAAATCTAGAGTTTATTCCCAGAAATGAATAAAGATGGAACAATATAACTGTTTCACAAATACTTCAGAGTGAGAGGAAACGAGGATCTGTCCGTACCCTGTTTATGATAAATATCGTTTGGGTTTATTTGTTACTTTGAAAATTTTCTAGTGTGTCATGGATGTCACTTCATTTGTGACAGTTTATTCATAGTCTCCTGTGAGTCAATCAAGCTTTTCAGCGAATATCTAAATTGTTCTAAAATTGTTCCAAAATTGTTCTTATCCGTCATTCGGTTGCCCCCTTACGAGCAACCCTCAGAAGTCTTTGAGAGACTTGTGTGAACAAAGAATGACGAGGGCCTTGCCTTTTAACGAATGATCGTAAACACTTTCTAAGGCCATTAGAAAAATGTCTGCAATCGGGGATTTGAACCCACGATCGGCAACAGAATACTAAACGCTTATTTCAAGCGGCTGCCTGACCTCCTGTTTGATAAAATATGTTCAACAACTCTCCCAATCAGACTAGATTTCACAGGAGAGACAAAAACGTTCCTGGAGTCATTATATCACAATGCAGGGTGTAAAAAACCCAAATTAAATTGTTTGAAAATCAGAAAAAGCATGGTATGTATGTTTGTAAGGCGGAATCTACGAGCATGATTTTGACCCACTTCAAAACGTCAAATTGAATTGAATTCCGCATAAAATAATATTCTTTACTACCAAGGTTTATATTCCTGTTTGTTTTTCACCTCTAGCAATATATTTCAATCATTTTAGTTCTGTGTAACCAAAATATTGACCTGTTGTCACTATGGAAGTACTTATTTTCAATACCTAGCCATGACCATGACAGCATATGACAAGTCGTTATTGATAAATACCATAACAGTGCATTCGGGTTAATTATAACAGAGGTGGCTATGTCTTTATTGTCTAGTGGTTCATAAAATGACGAAAACTACTTTGGTAGTAAAAACAACTAAAATACACTGTATGCCTCGAAAAGAAGTAAATAATAGTAGGAGTGGTGGAAAAGATTTAAAAAACACGCTTTTTAAAGTACTAAAAAAAAAGATATCTAAACTAAAAAGAAAAAGAAAATAAAAAAATAAAGTGTTGATAAGTGGACAACATAGAAAATATTATAGCATCTCAGTAATCAGTATATTTCATTTTTTCATCAACACACCATTATTTTATTTTCAACTTCTTTTTAGTTTGGCTATCTATAAAAGCGTTTTTTTTTTAGTTCTCAAACTACTATTCATTTCAATATTACAATGAACGCTGCTTCTGCAGTGTGGGTTACTATATATTACTTCATACAATTACTTTGGGTTATGTCATCTTGGGTCTTCATATTGGATTAATATGGGTTTGAGTTAGGATACAAGATACCTATTGAAAATTAAAAAAATATCCCTGAATAAATATAGTCAACGTAAAACTAATTTGATGAAAATTCTTCACAGGAAAGTTAACCTATATCTGTTATTCTCAAATAAGCATTGAAATAATATTGTCACGGGTTTAAAAAAAATAAAATTAATCAAATCATCCGTTGACATTGAACTATGAAAACTGACCAAGGAACTCTCATGAGAAACGTGCAAATCTAATAAAATAATGTAAATAAATATTGGATGTGAGGGTTCCGAAGTTAGTCTGGTCTGGGGCTACTTTTGACTTGACAAGAGCTCGTCGTAATGGTCATTATAATGTAAGTTGTTATTAGGTCTTTATATTCATTGTTGTTTATTCATATTTGTCATTGCTACCCATAATGTTTCAAGATTCATTAAATATTGTTATGTTTGAATATAGTATTGAACTTTCAGCTACCCCTAAACTATTAGTGCCCATTCGAATATTACCTCTCGCAATCTATTAAGCCAAGCATTACCCCTTATAAATCGATATGGGTGGAGAAACCATCTATTTTATCGTGATAATATATATGTAAAAATTAATTTCCTAAAAACCAACAATGAATAAATATTGCCATACTTTGCCAAGCTTTGGGATGAAACTGTAAATTCTCAATTTTTTCGTAGATTCGCGGTGCTTGATAGGACTCATCAGTTGATCATCAAGAATCTGAAAAACGAGGTAACCAAAAAAGTTCAAACGCCAACTTGTGATGAAGTATTTTATGCTGGTACGGGAATGTTGTTGCTGAGAGATACCGAACATGTTACTCTTTTCGACGTACAGCAGAAGAGGACATTGGCTCAAGGTAAATTTGTAGAAATAATGAACACAAAATGTCATAAAAACTGTTTGTTACAAAACTGTTTGAGGAAATAATTGAAGTCAAAGCTCACTGGTCACGTGGAATTTGGAAAAATTCTGAATAATTGTTTTGTTTCATTCAGCTAATTCATTATATTCAAATAGAGCAGCTTAGGTTTAGCAACCTTGAAAGTGAAATAAGTCATGTTGTCTACATTGATGATCATGAATATTCTCGTTTTTTTTTATTGATTCGTTCATAATTATGAGATCAAGACTTGTGTTTTGTTAATTTTATTGTTGATGGAAGGTTCGAATGTAGTCATTTTTCATCCAGTCCTTTTCAAGCTCAAATGACACTATGTATATTTTAAAATATCTTGTACAAAAATCAAAATTGTAACTCAAAACATCCAGATTTTGACATGAAACTACGAAAATTTTCTGCTTCAACTTGCAATTTTGTACAGATTATTGTGCATGAGAATACATAGTAACATACGGATTCCAATTTTGTTTCCTAAAATATCTGAATTGGTAGATTTGGCAATTGTCATGTTTCCAAGATACAATCTTGAAAGGTTTTTTATAATGCCCCATTGATTCTAAATTTTACAAAATAATTAGACGATCAATAGGTCAATATAATGTCCTTTTCAAATTGCTGGTATTATTTGTACTGTTGTCGCTTTTGTACCACCATTTTATTGTAAACCGGATGTACTATTCACATAAAAGAGTGAAATTGTATTTTTCCAAAAATCTCTAATCATTGGTTTTCTGAGCTTTAACTGTCAGAATTTCTCAATTCGGTCGATTCATAGAGCTTTTCTTTCTAAAATTTGTCAATCAGTTTTGATACATCTTTGAAAACATTAGTTCAAAATTGTGTTGTTAAATTGTTTTCAGTTAAAATCAACAAATGCAGATATGTAGTTTGGTCGTCGGATATGTCTCACATCGCTCTACTATCCAAACACAATGTAACAATTTGCAACCGAAAATTGGATGTGCTTTGTTCTCTACACGAAAATACTAGAGTGAAATCAGGGGCTTGGGATGATTCTGGAGTTTTCATCTATACTACAAGCAATCACATCAAATACACTTTGAACAATGGGTAAGTAATGATAATGATTTAATGTGTTTTATGGTACATCATCAAATCATCAAATTATCCTTCAGTTATTGTGAATATTATTTTCAATTCATCAAACAAAACCACTCAATAATATATCAAATTTCCAGTCAAACAAATCCAGAATGGTGAATTATAAGGCTTCTAACTTCTAACTTAACTTTATGATCGCTTGTCTTTAATGGCAATCCAATTACAAAGTTTGTTTGCCTCTTCATTTAATGGTGATAGAGCTACATATAATTCAAATTTCAACTCGGTGTTGAATGTATCGAAACTTTCAGGCTAGAGGTAAACGAAGTAAAATATAATTGGCATGCCTCCTCATGTATTTGAAGCTTGTAATAGCACTTTTACAAGTTTAGGAAAAAGTTATTTTGATCTGATTTTGTTAGTAAATTCCTGAAAACCTGTCCAAGTCCTCCTGGATGAATCTGTTATTATTAGAGTTATCTACTTCCTCAAAAGTGCTCATGTTATCTGCATAGACTAGAAATATTGTTTTTCTGGTTCTAAACTTTCTGATGTCTTCAGAAAGATCAAATATGCTAATTTCTGAATGAATTCATGTTACATAGAACATTTACTTTTATTGACTGAAGTGGAATAATTTTAATTGACAAGAATTGTCAAACTCAGTTCCACCTCAATTTACAGGAAGATAAACATGGAATATAAGCTACGTTCAGCGATAAGTCTGATCACAGTAGTCCGACCACAAGTTTTGAACGAGCATCGGTCCATGCGTGGACAACAGTCACTGCCGATGCATTTTAATTTCCGTGTTTGAACTTGGTTTATTAGTTGCGTTTCAAGTGGATATGGAATTTTACTCCACTCCTATGAGTTACAGTATAGGACAGATACTTCATCTTCATCCATTTTCGTTTCAGTAAGTCGATAGAAAGAGAATGAAACCGCTGGTATCTGGAATATTCGAAATTAATTGAATATAATAGGAAATAGCAACGGGAAATTCATCACGTTTCGCTGGTTTCTGGTGTGGTTTCCTCTTCTGTGCTATTTTTTCGTTGTGTTTGAGAACTATTTCCAAATTCTGTTACCTGTCATGTCTCCATTGAGACATAAAGGTGACTTAGAAGAAAGAGAGATGCTGGTCCCACCACCACCCCTACTAGAATGAAGGCTATTGAATAGAGTTTCTTTTAATGACAATTCCACTACTAATACTCTAATCATGGACTTAACTTGATTCATCAAAATTTCGAAAAATCATTTCATCTCCCTCTCTTCTTTTTCTCTTCTCTTTCATTTCTTCATTCAGTAATATTGCAACAATGTAGAATTTACAGAATGCAAGAATGGGAAATTCGACATCCTTCGCTGGTTTTTGGTCTGTGTCATTCTTCCATTGGGCTTGGATCGATTAATAACACGTCGCTTCTTCGATCTAAAACATAGTTGGTATTATATCTCGAATTTGCAATATATTGAGAATTGAAATCATGAAAGTTACATGGAATAAGAAACTGAAATATATTATATGAAAACTGTTTTCAAATTCCGTTGCTGGAACGCGACATATTCTATTACTCAAAAAATGAGCGGAACAGATAGCCAACAATTTTCTCCTTAATGAGAAACACTGTATATACCTAACCCATCAGGCGCCTACCCCGGTTGCAACGAGGGTTTACCGATGCCAAGGGTTGATACTCTCCCCTCGTAAGGGTACCTGTCGTGTCTCCATAGAGACATAAAGGTGACTATTGAAAAATTTCCTATGATATATCGCCTTCCATAACAAATATAAAATTTGGAAAAAATATTCTAAATGATTTGAATATTATTCGTAAATAGGAATGAAAAACTTATCATCGGTTGCTGGTTTCTGCTCTGGTTTCCTCTTCTGTACAATTTTTCCGTCGATTATTAATAACATGTCGCTTCTTCGATCTAAAACATAGTTGGTATTATATCTCGGATTTGAAATATATATTGAGAATTGAAATCATGAAAGTTACAAGGAATAAGAAACTGAAATTTATATGAAAACTGTTTTCAAATTCCGTTGCTGAAACGCGACATATTCTATTACTCAAAAAATGAGCGGAACAGATAGCCGACAATTTTCTCCTTAATGAGAAACACTGTATATACCTAACCCATCAGGCGCCTACCCCGGTTGCAACGAGGGTTTACCGATGCCAAGGGTTGATACTCTCCCCTCGTAAGGGTACCTGTCGTGTCCATTGAGACATAAAGGTGACTATCGAAAAATTTTCTATGATATATCGCCTTCCATTACAAATATAAAATTTGGAAAAAATATTCGAAATGAATTGAATATAATTCGTAAATAGGAATGAAAAACTTATCACCGGTCGCTGGTTTCTGGTCTGGTTTCCTATTCTGTACAATTTTTCGGTCAATTAATAACACGTTGCTTCTTCGGTCAATTGATAACACGTTGCTTCTTCGATCTAAAAAGTAGTTGGTATTATATCTCGAAGAAATATTCGAAATGAATTTGATATAGTACGTAAATAGGAATGAAAAACTTATCAATGGTCGCTGGTTTCTGGTCTGATTTCTTTTTCTGTACAATTTTTCCGTCGATTAATAACACGTCGCTTCTTCGATCTAAAACATAGTTGTTATTATATCTCGACTCTGAAATTTATTGAGAATTGAAATCAGGAACGTCACATGGAATATGACACTGAAAAATATATGAAGACTTCTTTTAAATTCCGTTGCCGAAACGCTACAAATTCTTCTAATACTCAAAAAATGAACGGAACAGATAGCCAACAATTTTCTCCTACATGAGAAACACTGTATATACCTAACCCATCAGACGCTAAGGGTTGATAATCTCCTTTCGTAATGGTACCTATCGAATCATTGTCAGTCATTGAGACCCAATGGTGACTATGTTTTTTGAAGAAGACTGTACAGGGTGGCCAACTAAGACTTCAGAGTTCGATTTCTCTGTTGTCTTGAGAGATACAAAAAAAATTCATGAATCAAAATTGAAGTGATAACCGAGCATCACATTTCAAAATTTCTTTGAAATACACAGGGTGTTTCGTAAGGTCACAGCACACCAAAGCTATGTTTCTTTCATTGGAATACCCTATATTTTATTTCATTTTTGAATTCTCCCTGAAAATCTGATTCTAACGACCCATCATACTTAGGGTCTAGCAGTGAAAGTTATATAGGGTGTGCAAAATCGAGATTTTCCAAGTTCAGGAATTTTTTCTGTCGAAACTGTTCATTATTCGTCAAAACGGTTTACATGTCCCTATCTCAACTTTTCACTCACTATCAATTGGTGTTCAATTGAAATTGATACAAGGTGGTCAAAAAAAACTAAATTCATAATTTGTTTCAATTAAATGTCAATTGAACACCAATTGATAGTGAGTGAAAAGTTGAGATAGGGACATGTAAACCGTTTTGACGAATAATGAACAGTTTCGATAGAAAAAAATCCTGAACTTGGAAAATCTCGATTTTGCACACCCTATTTGTCAGTAACTTTCACTGCTAGACCCTAAGTATGATACGTCGTTGGAATCAGATTTTCAGGGAGAATTCAAAAATGAAATAATATATAGGGTGTTCCGATGAAAAAAACATAGCTTCGATGTGCTGTGCCCTTACGGAACACCCTGTGTATTTCAAAGAAATTTTGAAATGTTAAGCTCGGTTATCACTTTAATTTGAATGCAATACTTTTTTTGTATCTCTCAAGACAACAGAGGTATTGAACTCTGGATTCTTAGTTGGCCACCCTGTACATTGCACGAACATTTTATATATTTTATTTTTCACGTCTCTTATTTCAACCTGAACTCACATTGTTATGAAAATTTTATGTTTTGATGAACAATAAATCAATAAATGATTAATTGATTGATTAAAGATGACTATCGAAAAATGTTATATGAAATATCGCCTTCCATAACAAATAGTGAATTTTAAAGAAATATTCGAATTAAACTGAATATAATACGAAACAGGAAACTCATTACCGGTCGCTGGTTTCTTGTCTGGTTCTCTCTGCTATGCAATTTTTCAGTTGGGCTTGGGGTTTAGTTATCACAAGGTTTTTCTTCGATCTACAACATAGTTGTTATAAAATCTTGAATGTTATGGATATGCAGATGACTATCGGAAAATACCCTTTTATATATTAATTTCCATAATAATAATTATAATAATGATAATATTAATAATAATAAAAGTACTTTATTGTTCATTGAACAACAACTTTCAAATAACTATCAACCGAAGTCCTACCAACAACTTCCATAAGAAATTTTGAGGAAATGTTCGAAGTAAATTGAATTTCAGTAAGTGATGATATATGAAATAGGAATATGTAAAGAAACTCACCATTGTGGAGAATACAATTTCTTCTCTCATCATGAATAACTTTTCGTGAACAGTCCTGTAACAAAAAAATTAAATTATTATCGATATATTCATACAAGACCGAGTACAAGGCAATATGTCAGTTTTTTCAAACGTTGATATTTCGAAAACTCATTAAGGAGTAAAGTGTATTGAATGAGATTGTTTAGAATTATGAGATTCTTAAAATGGAATAACACGTGAACAGAAATAAATTGCAGAAATACATATTATTTCCGCCTACCTCTATCCCAAGTATACATTTCCTGGCCTCAGTTGTACTTTTTCTCCCTAACTTTTCCACACTAGGGAGAGTGTGCCAAAAACGGCTTACATGTCCCTATCGAAACTTTTGATTCACTATCCACTGACATTTAATTGGAATAGATACAGGGTGGTTCAAGATTCAGAATTCAGCTCACCCTGTATCCTTTCCAATTACTCTACCACAAATTAAAAGAATGTAGGATGCAAAAATGAAAATAACGTGCCTATAAGTTATACTGTACCTAGTTCTTAGTTTTAGTTCCTTAATAAATCTTATTCGTCAGTTTTATAATTAAATTATTCAGAAATAATTTGTTATATGAGGAAGG